GTGCCTTTGGGAGGCTGAGGTGAGTGGATTGCCTAAGCCCGCGGGTTCGAGACCCGCCTGTGCAACTTAGTGAGACCTCATCTCTACAACAGATCAAAATTAGCCGGGCGTGGTAGCGTGCGCCTATAGTTACGGCTACTTGGAAGGCTGGAGTAGAAGGATCCCCGGAGCCCAGCAGGTCAAGGCTGCGGTGGCCAGGAGCGGCTACTACATTCCAGTCTAGGCGACAGAGTGAGACTCCAACTCAAAAAAAAAAAAAAAAAGAAATTAGCATCTTCATCTTCTCATCTCTTAAGATGCTTCTTGGAGGCCAGGCGCTGTGGCTCATGCCTATGGGAGGCCAAGGTGAGAGGATTGCCTGAGTCTATGAGTTCGAGACCAGCCTGGACAATTTGGTGAGACCCCATCTCTACAATAAATCAAAAAATTAGCCAAGCGTAGTGGCATGTGCCTATAGTTCCAGCTACTTGGAAGGCTGAGGTGGAAGGATCGCCAGAGCCCAGCAGTGAGACTCCTACTCAAAAAAAAAAAAAAGATGCTTCTTGGAATCCAGTTACCATACTGTGTTGAAACCCAAGCAGCCCATGAAAAGGCCCACATGGAGATAAAGGAACAGAAAACCAAAGTCAATATGCCAGCCATGTGTGAGCCATATTCAAAACAGACTAGTAGAAGATGTCTAGTTGAACTACCCCACCTAATATCACATGAAACAGAGATGAGCTATCCTTACCGAGCTTGGCCCAAATTGCAGTTATCTGAGCAAAATAAATGATTACAGTCATCCTATGCCACTAAGTTTTAGAATAGTTTGTCACATAAGCAATAGGTAACTGGAACATAATTTTTTTTTGAGTTGGAGTCTCACTCTGTCACCCAGGCTGGAGTGCAGTGGCACGCTCACAGCCACTGTAGCCTCGACCTGCTGGGCTCAGGTAATCCTTCCATCTCAGTCTTCCAAGTAGCCGGTGCCACCACGCCCGGCTAATTTTTTTATTTATTATAGAGACAAGGTCTCACCAAGTTGGCCCAAGCTGGTCTCGAACCCCTGTACTCAGGCAGAACATGAATTTTTTTAGGTTCTTTGAGTAAAAAAGTTAATAAAAAATAACTAGCTTTACCTGTGATAGGCAAGAAGCACAGTGGTTAAGAGCACAGACTTTGGAGCTGGAATGCCAGACTTGAATACTGACAAGTCATAGTCTCCCTGTGCTTTTATTTCTTCATTTATTTTTTTTGGTTTTTTTTTTGTTGTTTTTTTTTTGAGTTGGAGTCTCACTCCGTCGCCCAGACGGGAGTGCAGTAGCCGCTCCCAGCCACCGCAGCCTCGACCTGCTGGGCTCCAGCGATCCTTCCGCCTCAGCCTTCTACGTAGCTGAAACTACAGGTACGCGCTACCACACTCAGCTAATTTTTTAATTTTATTGTAGAGATGAGGTCTCACCAAGTGGCCCAGGCGGGTCTCGAACCCGCGGGCTCAGGCAATCCACTCACCTCAGCCTCCCAAAGCGCAGGATTACAGGCTGAGCCACCGAGTCTGGCTATTTCTTCATTTATAAAAGGAAGAAATTAACAGCCTACCACCTAAGCTATTAGTATTAAGGAAGGCTGTTAGCTGTTAGCACCCAGAGGAAGGAAGTTGTTTTAAAGAGAAGAGGTGGTAGAGGCTAAGCACAGTGGCTTATGTCTATAATCCCAGCACTTTGGGAGACTGAGGTAGGAGGACTGTTTGAGCACAGAAGTTTGAGACCAGCCTGGGCAACATAGTGAGAACTTGTTTCTCAAAAAAAATTAGCCAGGCACAGTGGCACATGCCTGTAGTCCCAGCTACTCATGAGGCTGAGGTAGAAGAATCATCTGAGCCCAGGAAGTCGAGGCTGTGATGAGCTAGGATCATGTCACTGCACTCCAGCCTGGATGACAGAGTGAGATCATGACTAAAAAATAAAAATAAAATAAAAAGGTAGTGGAAAAGAGAAAGTTAAAAGATGATTAAAATAATAATATCAGGAAATCTTAGAAGTAAGGAAGAGAGAACAGGAATGTTCAGTCATAAAGTCAGGGAGAAGCCAGGACAGAGGGAGTTGCTATCAGACCTAGGTACCAAATGAGAGTGGGTTTGAGAGACTGTCAAGATCTAGCCAGTAAGTAACATGGGATTCTCTGGCTTCAGCAGCTCTAAGCCTTCCAGAAACCAGCAGGGACAGACTGGGCTGAACAATAAAGTACTGCCTCCAATACAGTCTCCCTACTAACTACCAGGCCCTCAAGCACCCTTAGAAAACAGAATAAAGTTCATCTTTATTCAGGTAGGCCCATTTCCCCTCCTTTCCACATGGAGTCCCATTCACACTTTCCATTCACACTTTCCAACTTAACTGCTGAAGCTTGAAATTCCTTCAAATGGGAGAAAACATTTTCATTCCACATTCAAAGGAAAAAAAAATGACAATGCAAAAATCTGGCTAAGATAATACTGAGTCTGAGTTTCAATTAACCACCTTGCCAAGTGGGGGCCCAATTATGCATTTTTAGGAGAAGACACAGGAACTAATAGTTTATTAAAGCCTACTAAGTGTTAGGACATAGTTAGCAGATGGTAAGAAGTGAATTTAAATTTATCTGTGTAATTAACAATGTCTTAATCAATAAATATTTACTGAACGATTTAAGAAATAAACCTAAGTATGCAATCTATGAGATATTCCCATGTCCACAGAGGAATTTAAAAAGCAGGAGAACATCGGGATCAAGTAGTAGAGGTCACCATTACAGGGGATTAAAGGTCATATTAGAAGGAAAAGGAAAAGAGGGAAGGATACACTAGCAGAAAAACTGTAGACTTCAGCACTAACTAGAATCATGTTTACTCTCCCACGAAAAAGCAATTAGACTAGTCTGGAGTCAGCCTGCCTGATCTAAATCCTAGCTTGGAGTTTACTAGCTGTGTGACACTGGGTAAATAACTTCTCTATGCCTCAGTTTCCTCATCCCTAAAATGAATAACTATACCTATATCTCATTGGGTTACTGTGAAAATCAAGTGAGTTAATTCAAGTAAAATGCTTAGAATGATACATAACACATGGTAAATACTGCTTAAATATTAATTGCAATTATTATTATTATAGTCTGAGATATCTGGCCCGAATTTATCAAGTGAGGAAGCTCATTCTTACAAAGAAGTACCTAGTTCTCAGGAGATACACTAACAGATGTAGTCCTGTAAACAAGGGACATCAGCAGAGAAGGGATGTTAGTATAGACAACTCATGATTACTCAGAAAATATCAGATTTTAGATATTAGTCTCCTTATTTTTTTCTCTCTCTCTTTATTGGTATTTTCCTGATGATTAAATCATTTTTTCTTCTTTAAGAGGTGAGAGGAGATATAAAAAATGAGACAGCATGTAAACTGGGAGTGGTAGCATGTGCCTATAGTTCCAGCTACTTGGAAGACTGAGGTGGAAGGATTGCCTGAGCCCAGCAGGTCAAGGCTGTGGTGGCCATGAGTGTGCCACTGCACTCTAGCCTGGATGACAGAGTGAGATTCCAACTAAAAAAAAAAAAGAAAAAAAAAATGAGACAGCATGAACTAGTATATTCTGATAACCGCTGGCAGTTCAAATTGTTTGGCTGGAGAAGAACAGAGCAACATTGGCTTGGAAAAAACTTTAGATACTCTCCACGACTTACGTAACCAGGGACTGAGAACAAGAGGAAGTTGAGACAAGCATTCACAATAAAATGCCATCATCTTAAGACTTAAAACTTGGAAGAGAGTTGCTATACTAAGGTAAGTATGGTGAAAATCAGGCAAGCTTCATTATTCCTCTAAATCAAAATTGGGCTTTGGTTTCTTGGAAGAGCTATTTAGAAACATGGCCATAGAGAATACATCTCAGACAACAGGAGGAAAAAAAAGAAAAATTTTCCATTACAGAAAGGAGTAACGAAACAGAAAATTAATTGGTGGTAGGAGAGGTTTGCTTTTAGTTCTAATTTACAGAGAAGATGTATATATAGTATGTTTACGCAGATAAGTTGTCTCTCAAAGAGACTTACTTTTATTGATTCACAAAGAAAAAAAATTATTGGCAGCTGAATTTTTAAGACTGACTTTTAAGGGCCGGGCACAGTGACTCACACCTGTAATCCCAGTACTTTGGGTTGCAGAGATGAGAGGACTGCATGAGCCTATAGGTTCAAGATCAGCCTGGGCAACTTGGAAAGACCTCATCTCTACAATCAATTAAAAAATTAGCCGGGCGTGGGGTGCACGCCTGTATTCCCAGCTACTAGGAAGGCTAAGGTGGAGATATCTGCTGAGCTTAGCAAATTAAGACTATGGTAGCTGTGAGCATGTCACTGCACTGCAGCCTGGGAGACCAACAGAGACTAGGACTTAAAAAAAAAGATTAACTTTTGAGTTTTTTTATTTACCTCTATTTACCAAGAGGAAAAGAGACATAAACATATTATCAAGCATTTTATATACATGTTTCAATCTACATAATAACCCTGTGAAAACAAATAGGAAACTGAAGAAGAGAAAAAGAAACCTTCCCAAAATAACACTGCCTATAAAAGATGGAATAAACTCAGGATATTTGGAATTCAAAGCTCATGTATGCTCTATGCACTTCACTATACTACCTAAGGCATGACAGATGTAATAGCTACTTGCCTGAATGTTAATGTCTGCCCACAGAAATAAGTTGGAGCACGGGAGTAGAGAACACCTGAGGATTCAGATTCATTCCGGAGTGCTATATTTCTTCGACTGCTCAGACTGTACCCCTCAAAACCAGTTGTCCACTCTTTTTTAAAAGCAAAGATATTGAAAATTATTAGAACCTTTTAAGGGATATCTTTAACATCGACACATTAAATAAAACTTGCAAATGGAAGAGATTACTATTAGAGGTCATGGGCAAGTTCAGTAAAACGAAAGATTCAATAACAAGGTATCATGGTCAGTCCCACAAATTAAAAAAAGAATTGAGTATATTCCTGCACAGTTTTGGCATGGAAAATCAAATCATGTTATTTCCTCTTCTAATAAAATCATAGTTCAAGCATAACTGAATTTATTCTAACCTGATTTAGAACTAATTAGTAAATGAATCTACGTCTTTTAAAACAATAATTCAAGCCAGGCTCAGTGGCTCAGCCTGTAATCCCACGCCTTTGGGAGGCTGAAGTGAGTGGATTGCCTGAGCCCACGGGTTCGAGATCCGCCTGGGCAGTGAGACCTCATCTCTACAATAAATCAAAAAATCAGCCGGGATGGTAGCGCATGCCTGTATTACGGCTACTCGGAAGGCTGAGGTGGAAGGATCGCCGGAGCCCAGCAGGTCGAGGCTGCGGTGGCCGGGAGCGGCCACTGCACTCCAGTCTGGACAACAGAGTGAGACTCCAACTCAAAAAAAAAAAAGAAAACAACAATAATTCAGGAGACAGATCAATTTCAAATCAAAAGAATTTTTAAAAATGCCTCTCTACAGATAATTCTTGAAGGTTTGGGAAATCGGTGTCCTATAAAATATTTTTAATCTTTGGTTTTAGGTAATGCTAAAAATCTGTCTAGCATTACTTTTTGGACTCTAAAGATAATAATTGATGAAAACAAAATCACATGAAGCAATATGAATAAAAGACATGTTCCATGTTGTTCTCATCAATTCAGGATTTATCCTTAGAAAAGAAGTTGTCAGTGCATACAGAATACAAGTGTTTTAATATACAGCTAAGCTTCAGGAATGAGAAGGTAACCGCATACCATGAGGTACCAGTGTGGAATGACCTATCTGGGGAACACTCCAAGGACTCCACTCTTGTCGGCCATCTCCTCGGGCGCAGACTCTGAACTGATAATCAACATTGGGGTCGATGTGCAACACTATGAATTCAGTTTCAGAACCTACATATACATCCTCAAAATGATTTGAAGTACATTTACGGAACTGCAGCCTATAATCTTGGGCTGTAAAGTCGTCATCCACCTAAGAAGAAAAGCTTGATGTTAGGTAAAAATCAGAGAATGACTTCTCTGAGCATCACTGCTTCAGAACTTTCAATGAGGGCACGTTGGGCCAAGCACACAGGCTCACAAGCTGAATATGGACTCTTCTTGGAAAGGCCATAAGAAATATGCCCGCTGGGCGTGCAATGGCTCAGCCTGTAATCAATCCCAGCACTTTGGGAGGCCGAAGTGAGAGGATTGCCTGGGCCTGGGGGTTCGAGACCAGCCTGGGCAACTTGGTGAGAGTTCGTCTCTACAATAAATCACAAAAATTAGCTGGGATGATGGCGTGCATCCCACCCACTGAAGTGGAAGGCCGAGGTAGAAGGATCACCTAAGCCCAGCTGGTGGAAGCTGCAGAAGGCATGAGCGTGCCACTGTACTCCAGCCTGGGCAACAGTGAGACTCCAACTCAAAAAAAGAAAAAAGAAAAATATGCCACTGCAGCTGGGCATGGTAACTCACACCTGGAATCCCAGCACATTGGGAGGCTGAGGGAAGAGGATTGCCTGAGCCCGGGAGTTCAAGGCCAGCCTTAACAACATGGCAAGACCTCATCTCTACAATAAATTTTTTTTTTTTTTGAGTTGGAGTCTCACTCTGACACCCAGACTAGAGTGCAGTGGCCGCTCCCGGCCACTGCAGCCTCGACATGTGGGCTCCGGGGATCCTTCCACCTCAGTCTTCCAAGTAGCTGCAATTACAGGCACACGCCACCATGCCCGGCTAATTTTTGATTTATTGTAGAGATGAGGTCTCGCCAAGTTGCCCAGGTGGGTCTCGAACCCGCGGGCTCAGGCAATCCACTCACCTCAGCCTCCCAAAGCGTGGGATTACAAGCTGAGCCACTGAGCCCGGCTTACAATAAAATTTTTAGAAAGAGAATTACCTGGGCATGGTGGCATGCACCTATAACCCCTGCTACTTAGAAGGCTGGAATAGAAGGATTGCCTGAGCCCAGCATGTCAAAGATGCGGTAGCCATGATTGTGCCACTGCGTTCTAGCCTAGGTAACAGAGACTTCAAAGGAAAAAAAAATGCCATTGCTGTTTCTCTTTATTTATTTATTTATTTATTTATTTTTGAGTTGGAGTCTTACTCTGTTGCC